CTAAGGGAAAAACTACAAAAGGAAACTATAAAGCTGTCCATAAACTGTTTTCCTAGTTCTCTCCTGTTTTCAAAGCATTTTCCCACAGCTGAATTTTTTTCCTACAGTTACTCATTAGTATATTATACTCACTAGGGTAACCACGATTAGTCCTCCCGTTTTTAAACAGCAAATTAAATATAAGTTAAACCATTTTACTGTGTGATCTGGCAAAAATCACTTTATCTTTCTAGGCCTTAGTGTATTCATTTGTAGAACAAGATTAGGCTAGATATCTAAGGAGTCCTTCTATCTCTGAAGTACTAAGTAAACCCCATTGCCACTAACAAATCTGCAATAATACTTTAATAAGCAAAGAGACTAGCAAGACAAAAAGAATCTGAAGACAGTACAGACCCCATCACTAAAAAAATGTCTAAACCTTGCTTCCTACCTTCCCAAAATACATAATCTCATTCATACCTGAGTGCCCAATGCAACCCCCAAAGTCTAAACTTCTAATTACTAGTTGAAAGTTGGAGTGGAGTTTAGATCTAAGCTCTGCTACAAAGGCTTCCAGGGCTAAGTGCATGTGGGTGGCTGAAGCACTATTCAGTCATGGCATAATTATGTGGGTGAAGAGAGGGGCTGTCCTCTGTAGGATCCGTAATGCTTCCGATTATTCCAGAGTAAGTAGATGGTCTTGGGCAAAAATCCTACCCTGGCAGTACTCACTCGGGTAGAGAGCAATGGGACACATATTGAGTGGGTGACATTACTGAGAAGGGACTCTGGAAAGAGCAGAATAAGAACAGGAGTGGAAGTTTCTCTAAGTAGTTTTCCCCTGTTACATACCTACACTATTTTCTCCAGCTTCAGAAAACTTTCCAGAGCTTGTGCATATACAGAATTTTCTAAAATATGTTAAAAATAGTGACTTGATTTTTAGTGAAATACATACTTTGACCTGTAAAAGGACCAATACCCATTGACAGCGCAGTCAAGGTTTCTTATAGCTAAACTATAGTCTTTCAGTCACAAAGATTTTAGGGTTGAGCTTGGGGGGGCGGGGGGAGACAAACAAAAACCAAACCTGGCCTCTTATGAAAAGGACACTGGCTCTGGAGTCAGATAACACTGGGTTTGGTTCCTGGCCTCACTACTTACCAAGTGAGCAACCTTTGGCAAATTTTAAAACTCCACTGGGCTTCAATTTCCTTATCTGTAAAATGGGGCTAATACAATCCACCTGCAGGGCTATTGTGAGGATTAGCAAGTACAGGGTCCAGCACAAATAACGCCCCCTTTTTTAATTATAAAAATCTCTTATTAAAAAATCATAAGCATGTAATTCTGTAACATAACAATATCCGACTCAAGCACACCATATGCCACTTCAGGTGAAATGTTCAAATAAAAACTATAAATTATTATACTCATATTATTACCCTACCAACCACACTCAAGCAGGTGTTACTTCTGCCAGACCCTGTATATGCTGACACGGTAGTGTGTTCTCCTCCTCATCACCTAAATAACAAACAGCAATACTATGTATGGCCTCCCTCCTGTCAACTGTTAATTAGTAAAATAAACCAAAGCATAGAAAATAACCAGAACTGCATCTAGAGCAGCCACGTATGCATTAACTGGTTTTTGATCAGAGAAGAGTCCCTAAGTCCATCTATAGCCTTCCTCCTTCCTAAACAAAAAGACAAGCCTAAAGGAGTAGAAATAGAAATTACTGATTGGCCAAAAAGTCCGTTAACATTTTTTATGTAAAATAAAAGACGTATTTCTCATTTTCACCAATAACTTTATTAATTTGGTATTTTGAGTATGTCGGCTCTCTCCTGTTACTGGCTTCTAGTGGGTAGAGGCCAGGGGTGCTGCTAAATATCTCCCAATGCACAGGACAGCTCCACAGCAAAAAATTATTGGCCAGAGTGTTAATAGCGCAAGAAACTTTGCAAACCACTTTTGACAAGTTAAATCAGTCACAGCACCACACAAATCTTTTTTTGTTTCAGCTATCTTTTTACCTTCCTTGAAATAACAAAGGATAATATCCCAAAAATGTTGTATATTTTCCTCCATCTTCAATATTAAAATGGCTGCACAAAAATCCACCAATTTTGATAAGTTTTTAAAAAAATGTATGCTGATATGACAGCTGTCACAGTACAATCTAACAAAATTGTTTTGAATGAAGTTAAAGACAACTAAGCACTATTAGAGCCATCGTACAGAAAAAACTAAATGAACTTATTTGACCAACCCAATAGTAAAGAGACTTCTGTAGGCAGCTCACCAACAGTGTGGAGGAGATATAGAAAGGAGAAAAAACAAACCACAAAACGACAAAAGAACTTTTGAATTTTATGAAAAGCATGTGGGACCATTTACTGTAGAAGCAGGTAACCTTATACCACAATGTAAAAAGTTTTGGTGCTTAAACGAGTAAGATTCAATCTATAGGAAAAATTTCACTTACGTGAAACAGTTCAGAGACCAACAAAATTAGATAGATTTACTGTATAAAGACATATGTAATGAAGGAGAAATCTCTATTTTTTCTGTACTTGGTAATATTGATGTAACACAGTAGTTGAGAAAGGTTGTGACTTTTCCACTGCCTTTCTTGGAGTGGCTTTCTTCCTTCAAAATTCTGTTTTAAATAAAGACTATTCTAAAGTTGAAGTGGTATGACAAAAACCAGATTACACATTATATTGTCTTTCCCTGCCCCCGCCTTTAGCTCTCTTTTTGAAAATTCAAAAGCTTTCTTTATTCTTTCTTCATTCCATAAAACTAGTCATTTGCCAACTACAGAGAAGCCAAAGTGCGATGAAAGAAATGCACTTATTAGCTCATAGGTGGCTCAGATTAGATTTTTTTTAATAAGGTGAAAACGAGGAGCTCTGTCCTTTCTATCCTGTCCAGTCTCTGAATTACTTCAAATTGATACAAAGGTGGGGCCCAGGAGATCTCTTTTTCCTCTCTAATTTTCTCATACTGGCCTACATCTGACTTGGAGACATAACTCTATATGAATTTTAAATTCTAGAAGAACGTAAAAACTGGAATTTGCTTGTCTATTTAAAATAAAAGGGTCAGCCCTGGCTGGTGTGGCTCAGTGGATCAAGTGCCAGCCTGCAACCCAAAGGGTCACTGTGGTTTGATTCCCAGTCAGGGCACATGTGTGAGTTGCCGGCCAGGTTCCCATTTGGAGGCACACAAGAAGCAACCACTCACTGATGTTTCTTTCTCTTTCTCCCTCCCTTCATCTCTCTCTCTAAAAATAAATAAATAAAAGGGTCAAAGCAGGCAGTTATTTTTTTAAGCAACTGACTATGGAACACCCAGATTGTCATGGTTCAGAGGGGTATATTATAATAGCAGCAGTAGCAACTGCTACTTAACATCAACAGAGTACTTACTGGGCTGGGCATCAAGCTGTGTGCTTTACATAAATTATTTCATTGAAATGTCACAGTTACCTTATGAGGGACTATTACTGTCCTGGAAACCAGGACTTAGGAATGTTAAGAAACTTGCCCAATTTTCAAGATTAGTAACTGGCAGAACTAGAATTTGAACCTAAGAGTTAGGTGTTACTACATGGTTACAAAGGGCCAGGTGTTTTATTTTTTGGAGTCCATTTGAATATTGGTTAGATTGCTCACTGCTTTAAGATATTGCCTTCTAAGTATATTAAAGGATATACAAAATACTGAATTAAGAACAGTAATGTATTTGCTTTTAGAACTTCATTTCTCTTGCACACACTGACTTCTCTTTTCTTTTCCCAAAAATTCTTGTTAGACTTGAAGGACAGAAGAGTGAAGATAAGAGGTAGGACTAAATTACTGATTAGTATTTTTACCATGTGAAAGAACTTGCTAACTCTTTCACATGGTAAAAATGCTGCTGTAACTCCTTTCAGATCTTACTGATATACACGAATAATTTATTTCAGGCCCTGAGATTATCTCTTAAAAGCAAACAAAAAAAGTCTATTAAAAATAAAAGAGGTGAAAGGGATCTTAAAAGACTGTCTGTTCAACCCTTGATATAGAAGAATTACTGAGGATTCCCTCTGGTTAGTAACTGAGACAAGAACAGAACTCACATCTTTCAAGACCTAACCCAAGTTGTGGCTCCCAAAACATTAGCCCTTAATCTAAATCAGTGAGGTGGTCTGTCTCTGGTTGACAAAGTTTGGATTTGAATAAGTATTCTACAGGGGATATTATTTCTATCTGCATGTGATAGAAACAAGATGAAAAGTCATACATTTAGAGATCAACTAAAAGTGGTCTAATATAAATATGGACTACAATATGATAATAGCTTCTATACTTTTAGCACAGATTGTAACTCAAAGCATTTAGCCCTTTGAGAATTCTCTAACTACTGTAGAACCATCTCACATATTAAAGTCTATTCCCCATTCAAATGCTTGCCAATTTATAGTAAAGGTAACAGACATGCTTACCTGGATTTATTTCCAGTTACTCTTTCTACACCAATTGCCTAGATAAATGTGCTTAAGGCCAAATATCTACAGGGTTCATCACATTTTGTCCAGGCTTTATTATGATTTATACGGACTTCAGAGGATTGTAATAGATCTTTTGAATTCAATGTAGTATAGCTATAGGTTGCAATGACTTGGGATTCTGTGATTATAAACAAACAAACAAACAAAATGCCTCAGAAAACTTGGGCTTCACTTCAAAGTCTTAAACTGGAATGGAAGATTGGAGAGCTACAATAATTGCCACCCCTTGACTACAAAGCTTCACTGGTGTGTAATCTTGGGAGTCGTCAAACTTTGCTGTGCCTGTCTTTTGTATTCTATCATAGAAACACATGTAGCTGTCATATGACATATCTAAAGTGCTCTGGACATTTCAGAGAAAGACACTCTATGAAGGTATTTAAAGGCTACTACCCCCCATATCCAAAAGGAAGGGAATCCCAAATATAATTTAGGATTTTAATTCCATATAACTTACCTATATCGCTCTTCCTGTAAGGCCTGCATTATTAATGAATAGTCCCTCTGATAATGTTCCTTGAGGGTTTCAAAAGATTCTTCTAGTCTGGCCTGGGTTTCCCGGATCTCCTGGATCTCATGTAGTAGTGCATCAAATCCTGAGCTCTGCATGTCTAGGGTATTTGTTTTGGAGCTAGATGCTCCTACAGCGATGCCTCCAGTGGTGCTGTTGGCTCCCACTGAGCCTGAAGTAGCACTAGAACAATCTTCCTCACTACCATATTTTGGGCTTGACTGAAAGTTTGAAATTACTCCCAAAGCCTTCCCCCCATCATCCACTTGCCCTTCTTCTAAAGAGTCCTTCAGGTTAGGGATGTTGTCTGCACTGCCAAATTTATTCCGAATTAGTGAGGCAATCTCTCTGGGCTTTGAGACTACAGCCCCTGCTGCTGAATGAGTTGCCTGGGAGAAGCTGGAAAGTCCACCTTTGACACTGTCTACCACGCCTTCACTGAAGCCAGTCACCTTTGCTCCCACATCCTTCAAACCCTGGTGCATGTCCCTGAAGACATCCTTTGGCTGCCGGGGAATCCCATTCTGCTCCACCTCTCGGAGCTTCCTGTGGTAGTGCTCAAGCTTCTTTTGTAACTGGAGGATGGTTTGGGCAGATTTCTGGTTCTTCTTCTCAAACACCTGCTTGATGCGGGCGGCCTGCTGCTTATCTGCGCTGTTGGCAAGCTTCAAGTACTCAGCAACGTTGTCATCCCGGGCTGTTTGTGCAATCTTAATCTGTTCTGTGAGCTTTAGAATCTTCTGCTGCAGGTGAGCGATAGCAGCCTTTGTACGCTGAGGGTCTGGTGTTCCATCCACAGAGTCTGTGTGGATACTGCCATCGGTGCTGGAGGCCACTGCACTGGAAGTCTGGGCAAGGCTGCTTACTTCCAACCGCTCGATCTGGCATAAAAGCAAGAGGTGGATGGATGTTATAAGGAGCCCAAGAGGAATACTACTTCTCCAGAATCAATAGGCCAATCAAGTATACTTTGCTTTAAGCAAAAAAGAGGTACGAAAAAAGATTTGAACAAGATGTAAACTGGGATATTTTTCTTTTGGTAGAGGATTTAGTACAGTAGATCATAAAATAACAGCTCCTCTAGTGGTTTAAAGCATAAATTAATTACAGTCTTCATACATTCTTTTGCTTATAAGCATACATGTAAAACAAGGTTCTCTGCATTTCAACTTAATTATATAAAAATCATTTTAGTATTCAGGCATCACTGTAATTCCAACCCATGTTCTCAGATTACGGTCATCTGAAAATGTTGGTGAGAAGAGGTACTTTACTGGTTAGATATGAAAATCCAACTTTTATCACCGTACTTTTTCCTGTCCAAATCATGTCAAGGGTGATAGAATCATCGACTGTATTCTAATAGGGACATATTAACAGCTGGAGGCAGGTTGCGGTAAGAAGGAGAAGGTACTGATGAAAGTAGCAAAGATGAATGTGGTATACTCTTGAGAGTTAAAATCCTACAACACAAGTAACTGTGATAAGACTTGGGCAACATTATGTGAACATAGGGACAGAGACAGTAAAGGTAAGTAATTAAACAAGTCGATGACTAAGTTCAGGCCTTTTGGGGCCAAATATTGTGAGTTCTATCCAGGAACAATTACTATTAGAAAGGGACTCTGAAACACACACAGCGACTATTCTTTCATATGGGCGAGCAACCATTCAAGAAAAAGACAAGCAGCTCAGATGTGAAAACTTAAAACTACCATACTTCAAAGCTGTCAGCCAAAGCAGGGGACAGATTAGTTTTAACTCAAGAGAAATCCTTCAACAAGGTGCAACTGGGTGTGACTTGTGGTGGTGAATTAGAGTATGGCCTATGCAAAAAGGCTTTACACACTGTTTTCTACTGAGCAGTAACAGAAATAAATAATAAAATAACTACCCCAGGGTCATAAATATCCCCAGTAAGCATGCTGAAATACAAATTTACGGTCCTGGAGATTTAAGAGTAGACCCTCTTCCTTGCTTCCCATCCCTAATCTATCATCAGCAGCAATTTGCTAGGAAGAACTGTATATAGGTTACCCTTGTATTAAAAAAAAATTCAATTACATTTTTGTGATGACAATATATACCAATTCTGAAATAGTCATGAAATGCTAATAATTAACTTGCCAGTCTAGACAGACATTCTCTTTTTTTCATCTTAGTTGAACCTCCTCAGTTTGATGTCTGAACAGAAATTATGCTGATCTCTAACTCTAAAACACATTTAGTTCATTACTGGATTCAATATATTACTTTTGATGTGAATAAAAACAGTATTATTTTCTTTCTAGATGAACACATAAGAAATATTGTGCTTTTAAATAAAATCAAAAGGTAATTTAAAACTGAAATGAATAATATAATGACATTATGCTCCACTAATAAAGAAGAATATTCAGAACAGTTAAGGGTTACTTCCTCCATCTGCCCCATTCATCTTTAGGTACATGCTAACAAGCAGTGAAAGGACCAGAGGGAGGAAACAGAAGGGAGGATGAGGCAAAGTCCCAGATAACCAAGTTGCCAAGAGTTTAAAAGAAGCTTCTGGAAGCCTTCTTTCTTCAGTGCCTTAGGTTCACTTTCTTTGGTTGTACAGGGTTCCCACTGTGTGCTTTTCTTTCAAAATGGGCTTTCAGGCCCCAGAGCTACAGTATGTAACATGACCATGATTGCATCCTTAATGTTTAATAGTTCAAAATTGACCATAATATAAAAGAGAAGGTAAATATGACGTGCTAGTAGATCCAAGACTATCAGCTTATGCATGGTCTCATTTTCTTAGGTTGTCATTCATTTGAATATCAACTTATATACAATCTTTTATCTAAAGAAATAAAGAAATCAAGTTTAACTATTACTCTGGGAGGATAAAAATCAACTGTACTGGAGAAAAGATGGCTTTGAGACTATAATCAAGGTTTGATTACATCTTTAGGATTGAAAAACTCCAACAAAATTGTTTAAGACTTCAGGTCAAGATGGTAGCATAGGTAAATATGACTTGTCTCCTTGCACATCACATCAAAATGACAAATAAACCATAGAACAATGAACAATCGTCATTCAGAACTGTCAGAAATTGAGCTGAATGGAAGTCCTACAACTATGGAATTAAAGAAGAAACCACATCAAGACTGGTAGGAGGGGTGGAGACATGGAACAGGCTGGTCCAATACCCACATGTGCCAGATAAAAATCAGGAGGGGTATCTCAGGATTGATGGGTCCCAGCCTCACACCAGCCCTTCCAGTCCAAGATTCCAGTGCCAGGAAGATAAGTTTCCATAACTTCTGGCTGTAAAAACCAGCCAAAAACCAATGGGGATTGAAGCTGTAGAAGACAGGAACTGTTGGAATCCCAAGCAGTTTCTCTTAAACGACCCTCGCGCAGAATTACTCAGACTCCCTCCATCTGAGATCCAGTACTGGAGCAACAAATTGAAAGGAGTGAGACATACAGGGAGGAACTGAATTGTCCAGCATCAGGATGAGAGCTGGAGGCAGCCTTCTCCCAGACATAAATGCTGGCAGAGGCCACTACTGTTCCTTTGCTGAGCCCTCTCCCTACGGAGCCAGAAGGCAGGTGCCATATCTGACACTCCCATCAAACCGGCTCACACTGTTTGCTCCAACCAGGTGATTCCCTGAGGCCCTGCCCTAACCAACTTTCAGGCCCACCTAAGCTGTCTCCAATGGCTTTTCCACATGAATGGTTTGTCTTGGGCAATGCTTCAGATTTTCCTAAATTCTCTCAAACAAGCACCATCTAACTTCAGTGAGCCCTGCACCTCTCATTAGGTTGCCCCATGCCCGATACTAGCAGCAGCTGGCCTTGGGTCACAGCTTGGCCTCTCCTGGGCATCTCCAAGCCCAGTACAAGTACCAGCCTTATGTAGTTTTAGTTTGCTTTGTAGCTAATGCTGTGTGACCCCGGAGAGAACAAAAGTGGTGGCTGACCTTAGATGTGCCAACAGCAATCAAGGTTCAACTATAAGAAGAGGGTATACAGAGCCTACACAGTGGATGCGCCTTGAGTACCCAGCTTGGGTAATAGGGGAGGCTATATGCCACTGGACCCTACCGGAAGCCTACTACATTAGACCACTCTACCAAGCCTGGGAGACATAGCAGCTCTACCTAATGCATAAAAACAAACACAGGAAGGTTGCAAAAATGAAGAGACAAAGAAACATGGCCCAAATAAAAGAATAGAGCAAAACTCCAGATAAAAAAACTAAACAAAATGGAGATAAGCAATCTGTCAGATGCAGAGTTCAAAATACTGGTTATAAGAATGCTCAAGGGACTTATTTAGGACCTTAGCAGCATAAAACTGATCCAATCAGAAATGAAAGGTACACTAACTGAAATAAAGAACAATTTACAGGGAAACAACAGTAGAGTGGATGAAGATGAGAATCCATCAATGATATGGAACATAAGGAAGAAAAGACAACCAATCAGAATAACAAGAAGAAAAAAAAGAGGACACCGTAAGCAGCCTTTGGGACAACTTTAAACATACCAACATTGGCATCACAGAAGTGCTGGAAGGAGAAGATAAAGAGCAAGAAATTAAAAATCCACACGAAAAACTAATGAAAGAAAATTTCCCTACCTTGGTGATGGAAATAGATGTACAAGTCCAGGAAGCACAGAGAGACCCAAACAAGATAGATACAAAGAAGTCCACTCCAAGACACATAATTAAAAGGCCAGTTTAAAGATGGAAAGAATCTTAAAAGGAGCAAGAGAAAAACTGTTAATTACCTACAAGAGGGATCCCAAAAGACTGTGAGCTGATTTCTCAAAACAAACAAACAAAAAACAACAACTTCGCAGGCCAGAAGGGGTTTCCTAGAAATATTCAAAGTGATGAAAAGCAAGGACCTACAACTAGACTACTCTACCCAGCAAAAATATCACTTAGAATCGAAGGGCAGATAAAGACCTTCCCAGACAAGAAAAAGCTAAAGGAGTTCATCATTACCAAATTAGTATTATATGAAACGTTAAAGGGTTTTCTTTTAGAAGATCAAAAACATGAACAATAAAATGGAAACAAATACATATCTATCAATAATTGGATCTAAAAAAAACAAACCAGCAGAACAGAAACAGATTCACAGATACAGAGAACATTATGATGGTTGCCACATGGAAAGGGGTGGTAGGGGATGGGTGAAAAAAGTGATGAGGTTAAGAAGTACAAATTGGTAGTCACAGAATAGTCATGGGGATGCAAAGCACAGCATAGGAAATAAAGTAGCTAAAGAACATATATGCAGGACCCATGGACATACATAGACAATGGTGTGGGAATTACCTGAGGGAATTGGGGGAACTAGGTGGGGGGGGGGCAAAAGGGGAAAATCTGGGACAACTGTAATAGCATAAACAATAAAATATAATTAAAATTAAGAAGAAAAAACCCAACAAGCTTTCAATGTAATTATTTACAAATGACCAGTTTAGATGTGAGTTTATTTCTCTACACAATAACTACAGAAATTAACCAGCATGTCTTTAATCTGACTTTACCTGGGCTATATCCTTCCAGTGCGTGGCTCGCCTAACAAGAGCACAGTTGACAGAACCCACTGTACTCAGCTTCCAAAGAAAACTAACCCACAGCTTCAGAAGGAGGGTAGTTTAACACATGAAACCATGAGTCACTGGATTACTTGGTAACTACTCTCAATTTTGGCAGGCACTATCCTCAAAAAGGAAGGAGAGAAGAAAGGGAGACATTTCGAGAAGGAGGGAGTAGAGGGGAGGGGAGGGGAGGAGAGAAGAGGAGAGGGGGAGAGGGGGAGAGCAGTGAAGGAAGAAAGAGGAAGATATAATGAACTATATAGAATTACAGGTCAGCTATAAACAAA